CTCTGTGGTAGACTACAAAGTCTACGAGCTACAGCGGCACCGCCACCTCTGCTGCTGCAAGACGCCACATTCTGTGAGTGAACGCCATTTTCTCGGCCGATTAGCGAGAACCGAATGTATCAGTCCCATGTTCTTGTTCATCGCCCATGTTTGGGCTCCCATTGGTACGATGGACCAGAACATGGGCCAGTGTGCGACAGCGTATCCCCTGGGCTCAGTTGGCCTTGTTACTTACTAGCGCTTCGTGGACTTCATCGGCCGTGGAGGATCGAATTGATATCGGGTTGGATATCAGCCTGTCCGACATACTTTGTTCTTGGCGCGGCCAATCTTCTTCGTTTGGATGCTGCGGATCCGCGACAAAGTTTCTGCTGCGGTTGATCGGTTGTCCTTCAATTTGTATGTATTATGAACCCCATGTCCTCGGCCGGTTAGCAAGAGGCGATCTTATCGACCCCTTCTCTTCGAATCGGGAGAACTTTGCAACCCAACGAATTGTCGGCGGTTGTGAGATATGGGGGGAGGCACAAGGTCGCCATCCCCTGATGTATTGAGAAAAGGCGATAAGCGTTCGAAACGCACTCACACCAGGTGAGTGGGCTTCATAATCGCTAGACATGGGTCGCCGATTCGAAGATTAAATGTTCCTCAAACGGGTCATTGCGACCAGTTCGCTGCTCAATGGTTCGAGACTGGAAATGCAAATATCATTCCAAACCGTGCTGGAAACACTTAGCAGGTGGCGCGGATGGTTGATAATTCCACACAGAAAAAATAAAATCCTGCAGGTGAGCCTCGCGTGGCCTGTGGGGCTGCGTCCATATTCCGTGCAGACTAGCACCAAGGTCCGTTTAGCGTAATGGTCGGCTACTAATTTGGCCGGCGTGTCCCCCGGCCGTCTGCTTCAGTAAATAGTATATGTCGGAATGGATACTGTGCGCTGAATGAAGCTGAATTCATTCACACGGTGTGAGGGGGGGGTGTACTCCTTACTCATTGTCGTGCATGCCGTAGTCGTTCGACCATCGACCTTGCATCCTTTCAAAGCCGGGACGGAGCCCGCCGGGTTCTCACCGGACCAGGCTCTCACATCACCAAGCGCGAAGCGCCGTGAGATATTCGGCGAGTCGCATGAATGGTGCGCTGCATCCTGCTAAGGGTGTTCGGCATGTTGTGCTTACTTCCTTGCGTACGGATGACAGCTGATATGACTTACTTTATTTTCTGGTGCTTTCACTTCCGGAGACAGTTAATCCAAAATTTCCAGGGTACGCGGCGGGAATTTTCCCGCCGTCATTTAGGCGGGAATTTAGGCGGATCAGGTACTACTGGCGGGACGTACCGCCATAATTCGCGGGTACCGGATCCGCCGAAGGCGTTCCCGCCGAAAAAACGAAAACCGCTTCCCGCCTAAAGATTCCCGCCATATTGCAAACCGCCGAAATTGGTACCGCCGTATAATTGTGTTCCCGGATCCGCCCAAGAAAAAACGCCATATTGTAGCACCGCCAAAACGGTACCGCCGAATCGCAGTACCGCCAAAATGGTACCGCCATTTTGCAGTACCGCCAAAACGGTACCGCCATTTTGCAGTACCGCCGAACCGGCACCGTTAGAGGGCCGGTTAGTCCAATTGTTACGTGGTAAACTCCTTCGTAAGGGAAGAACTGGAAACCTATCCCCGCCCACTGCCTTTCTTTTTCCATTTTTTTTTTTTCTGTTTGTCTTTGTTCTTTTTTTTTCGGTTCGAATGTGGGTAGAACCTGTTTTGGTCACACACCTGCTCACAGCGTTCGTGTGGTCCAGCAAAGCAATACAACAACACAACAATACAACAATGAGCGCTTCAGAGGCCAGCAGTGGCAGTGCTACTCCTTGTAGTGGTGTAGAGACGGCGTCTGCCGACTCAGTGGTGCCTTCTTCGGACACCACAGTGGATGTGGACGGCTCGGTGACTGCGAGNGAGGTCCGCGCGTACGACGCTGCTGTTGCGCAGGCACGAGCTATGGCCGCCAATAGCGCAGAGAAATCCGCGGTTGCACAGGAGGAGAGAGCGAACACGGCGATTGACGTCTCCTTGTAGACTAGGGTAGCCGAGAGTGTAGAGTAGCCCGCGGCCGTGCAAGAGGGGTGCCCCTACTGAGTGTGGTTGTGGTTTTGTTGTTTTGTTCGGTGTCCGTTCATCGTAGTACATGTATGTATTTTGTCTTTTCTATGTTTTTCGTCGTTCATGCTTTCTTGTGGCAGTGACTTGTGTCGTTTGCCTTTTGTCTGGTCTCTTGTCTCGTCTTTTTTCTTAGCTTCTGGTCTTTTGTGTTTTGTCTTCTCCAGCTGGTCTTCTCAAAACCTTTTCTTTTGTGATATACAAAATCACAATCCATCATCTTCGTTGTGTGCACAGGCGCATGTAGGTGAAATAAGAGAGAAGGCTTGCTGTTCGTTCAGCCGCCACAGAAATTTATCATATATCCTGATATATTAGTGTCTATCTATAATATAGCTAGGGCCGGAGGCGTTCCCGCCATAATAAGGCGAACCGCCGGTGAAGGGTACCGCCGAAGGCGTTCCCGCCGTACTGCAAACCGCCGTGGAAAGTACAGCCATAGTTCGCGGGTACCGGATCCGCCAAAGGCGTTCCCGCCGTACTGCGAACCGNTTTATCATATATCCTGATATATTAGTGTCTATCTATAATATAGCTAGGGCCGGAGGCGTTCCCGCCATAATAAGGCGAACCGCCGGTGAAGGGTACCGCCGAAGGCGTTCCCGCCGTACTGCAAACCGCCGTGGAAAGTACAGCCATAGTTCGCGGGTACCGGATCCGCCAAAGGCGTTCCCGCCGTACTGCGAACCGCCGTGGAAAGTACCGCCACAACTCACGGGTACCGGATCCGCCAAAGGCGTTCCCGCCGAAAAAACGAAAACCGCTTCCCGCCTTAAAATTCCCGCCATATTTCGGTACCGCCTAAAATGGTACCGCCTAAAAAAACGGTACCGCCGTGTACCCTGAAAATTTCCATATTTTTGGCGCCAAATATTTGGAACCGAACGATTTTATACGTGCACCAGCTGGCCTTCCGAATTTTCCACATTAATCTCGCCGCTTGTCTGGTGCCAACAAGCAACAAGCACGACCCCCCCACACACACACCACCTTCGCCGTCAACACCTTCACAACCAAGACACCATGGCAGACAGCACAAAGGGACGGGCTACTGGTCGCCGGGTGGCTGCTACCCCAGCCAGATACAGAGAGCAGGGCCATCTCGGCGCTGCTGCCGGCGAAGGTTCGAGCGGGCGCGGAATGCTCCCAGGCATCTCTGGCGCATCGTCGGCGCTACACACCCCTGATCCCACTCCCCCGACGGCGAGGGCCGCCACAGGGGCAAGGCCATCAGGTCCTCCGAAGAGAGAACGTGTGGCGTATGACCAAAGTTTGTACAGCAGTACCACTTGTCATTTGTTATGGTGGCGGTTTTTTACAGATGACTAGGGGGGGGCAACAGGCGGAGAGAACGTGTGGCGTATGACCAAAGTTTGTACAGCAGTACCACTTGTCATTTGTTATGGTGGCGGTTTTTTACAGATGACTAGGGGGGGGCAACAGGCGGAGAGAACGTGTGGCGTATGACCAAAGTTTGTACAGCAGAACCACTTGTCATTTTTTATGGTGGCGTTTTTTTACAGATGACTAGGGCGGGGCAACAGGCGGAGAGAACGTGTGGCGTATGACCCAAGTTTGGACAGCAGTACCACTTGTCATCTTTTTTGGTGGCGTTTTTTTACAGATGACTAGGGGGGAGCAACAGGCAGAGAGAACGTGTGGCGTATGACCCAAGTTTGTACAGCAGTACCACTAGTCATTTTCGATGGTGGCGTTTTTTTACAGATGACTAGGGGGGGGCAACAGGCGGACAGAACGTGTGGCGTATGACCAAAGTTTGTACAGCAGTACCACTTGTCATTTTTTATGGTGGCGTTTTTTTACAGATGACTAGGGGGGGGCAACAGGCGGACAGAACGTGTGGCGTATGACCAAAGTTTGTACAGCAGTACCACTTGTCATTTTTTATGGTGGCGTTTTTTTACAGATGACTAGGGGGGGGCAACAGGCGGACAGAACGTGTGGCGTATGACCAAAGTTTGTACAGCAGTACCACTTGTCATTTTTTATGGTGGCGTTTTTTTACAGATGACTAGGGGGGGGCAGCAGGCAGAGAGAGCGTGTGGCGCACGACCAAAGTTCATTTTTTTTAGCCACGTACAGCAGTACCACATGATTTTTTTTGGTCGGTGTGTTTTTCACCAACCGACGTCTGCATTCGTAGATGCTTCGGAAACAACGTCTCCTCACGACGCGAACGTTGTCAAATACAACGCAAAAAACGTTTGGAACGCGGATCCATTTTCGATATGGTTATCCCGGGCTGTTGGAGCTGACCGTCTACGCCATGATGCGGTTCAGGCAAAACTGTCTTCCTAGGGACAACATCGTAAGGTTAGAAAAAAAAAAAACTCTGTTACCATCTCGCATAACGCAACTATGACATGTACAAATTCCCCGACACAGGGGGGAGGGTGCTCACCCTTACCCTACACGCCCAACGTTGTAAAATAAATGCGTTTGGAAACCTACAACGTCCTTCGACCTCTCTGCAACATTCGAATTTTCTCGCGCAAGAGATGCACAACGCAGGAATGACACCCGGACAAACGACGTCATGAACAGCAACAACGCTTACCTAAACAAAACAAAACAACACGAAATCTTACTGGACACCACTCAGGCATTACCCCGGTTGACGATGTTTGTAACGCATTTAACACGACTTCCGCAAAATTGTCTCCACGTCCTCGTAGAGGCGCATGTGGATTTGGCGCCCGATCCTCTCCCCCCTTAAAAAAAAAACTTCTCACCCGCCCGTGCGCCTTCCCTTCCCTTTCACCCCCCCCACGCCCTACCCCACCAAAGGCGTTGCATTCCCGACCACCATTGTCCACATCCCCCGCCCCGGCCACGGCCCACGCTCCTCAGAGGCCACCACCGCCACATTTGCCTCGTCTCGTCCATCACCCACGTAGTACGTCCTCGGGACCCACCCACCCTCCACCGCAGCCCGCCCGCGTTCGACCCCTTACGTCTTCCTCGCTGCGTTGCGCACCAAGTTGTGCTTTGGGCGGTACTGGCGCTTGTTGTCCAGCATCATCGTGATCCCCTTGCGCGTGGAGACTTCGCCTGACCTGGTCGGTTTCTGCGCGTCCTTGGTGGTCTTGGTGGTCGTGCTGAAAGTTCCTGGCAGAGTCTTGTCGCCGAGTAGGTGGGGGCGTACCTGGACCACCTCGGCGTCTTCTTCCGACCGGTGGATTGGTGTGACCTTCTCGTCCCGGAGAAAGTTGTGGAGGCGAAAGAGCGCCGTGATGAGGTCGCAGCGCCCAGCGAACTGAACACGCAACGGCTTCCACAGGATGCCCCACTGGCCGACGAGAATGCCGAACGCTTGCTCGATCCTGACTCTGAGTTGGCTCAGATAGAAGTTGAACGCATCTTTGTCCAGCGGTAGTCCCCTCCCTGGGTACGGAGTCAACAGGTGGTCGCTTAGGGGGTAAGCCGCGTCTCCGAGCATGTAGAAGCCTGGCGGCAGGTTTTTTACCGCTGTGGATAGATCCGAATGGTTCCATGCCGTCCAGTCATTGGTCGAGCCGGGTGCAATGCAAGACATGCTGCAAAACCGGTAGTTGGCATCGCATGTCGCCTGTACGTTCACCCCGTAGCCGCACTTGCTCCCAGAATAATACGAGAGAACGTTCGGAGTGTTGAGGGCAGTCGGAGCAAGAGTCTTCACGAAGAGGCCATCCCCCGCAGCTACTACACCTTGAAAGGCGCCGCCCGTGCTTTTTTCCTGAGGATAGACATGGCGCGCGGGGAGGGACACAACAGAGGCGCTCTTAGATTCGTTAAAGTTTGATTTTCGGGCAGCGGCAAGCCCATCGACTACCCCAGAAAAAACGTACAGGCGTGTGCGAGCAATTAAAGACGAGCCCTCTCCTAGACATGCCAATCAATACAGTGCAGACTGGAGCTCATTTCGCCATGCATCAAGCCAATACGTGTACACAAGATACAGAGGTTTCCCCGTGCTGTCACAAGTGTTTCCCGCTCGCTCCTTATTCGGTGCGTCTAGACAAGCAGGATATTCTGCCGAGCGGAGGACCGACATGCATGCATCCATGCAATCCGCGTCATTTGTTTTGGGCCAGACTCTGCAGCGTGGTGCCTTGCTTATGTACCATACACGTTAGGAGGCCTGCAGCCTACGGAAAAGGTGAAATTGAACTGCTCTTCCGACACCAGACCCGGTAGGCATACCAAAGCACAACACCTGTCTGTCCATTTTCGCCGCCTTGCCTGTTCTTGGCCATGTTCGCACGTACGTCTGTTCGCATACTGTAATCTATATTCGAAGTAATGCTGAAACTAAACCGCCACCAAACAACCGCCACCAAACACGATCATGTGTTTGTTCACATCATCATAGTCACCTACCTGGAATGCAAACATGCAATCTACCCTGCGGCTGTAAACTAGGGTATCATTTCCGCACCTCCCATTCTGCCGCCTGCCGGGTGCACTCATCCTCGCTCTGCGGAAAAAAGAACGGCCCAACCTCTGCTGTGCTGTTGATGGCATCCACCACCTGCCACAAGATGCTGAAGGCCGTCTCCTTGGACACGCCGAATAGCATGGCGGCATCGATATACGAAGCACCGGCCATCATCCGCAAGCCGATAGCTAGTCGGATCTTCGTGGAAACAGCACCACGTCGATACCGTTTTCCTGTTTCGCATGAAGCACAAAATAAGCATAGCGNGCATGGCGGCATCGATATACGAAGCACCGGCCATCATCCGCAAGCCGATAGCTAGTCGGATCTTCGTGGAAACAGCACCACGTCGATACCGTTTTCCTGTTTCGCATGAAGCACAAAATAAGCATAGCGTGAACGTATCAGCAGACGAAAATAGCAAGTGCTGGGCGGTGAAACTGTTACCCTAACCCTAGTCAGACACCGGAGGTCACCGTCCTGCTGGTGTAAACCGTCCTGCTGGTGTGAGAGTGCGGGCGGTGGTGCTGCGGGATGATTCGCCTTGTTCCTACAGCAGCAGTCTACACTTTTAACCAATACAACAACCGTGGTCTTCTGCAGTGCTACACTTCAGCATCTGCAACAAACGGAAGGACGGGAAAAACACCACAGCATGAGTTCTGTGCCTCGTGCGTCAATCACACACTCTCTCTCTCTCCCTGTCCCCCCGCCCCCCCATCTCTACCTCCCGTCCCCTCTCTATTCTCACTTGCGTAGTAGTCGTACAGTTGGAGGATCGGTTCCAGCAACCCAGCCAGTTTGTTGAACACCGGTTCCTCCATGCGATACATCCTCCGCAAGAGCTTCCGCTTCTTGAGGTCAGCAGCGTGATCCTCCCAAACCAGGCGCCGTGGCTCGTGGATAGCCGCACGCGTCTTGTTAGCGCTAGCGTGCACAGCTACAGAGGTGACCACTGCCGCCGCGCTTAGCACCAGAACCACCACAGCAGCAGCTGCTTTCATCTGCCGCACCAGCTCTTGGCGACCGGATGCACGCCTGAATCGTTGGCTCGGTGGGCCAGCACACGACGAACCAAGAGGCGAGCCGCGTTTCCTGCGGTCCGCCATGGCCCTACCGCTATCCAAGTACCCTCCGCTGCTGCTTCTTCCCTTGTAATTGGCCCTGTAGGTCCTTTAGCTGCTGGGTTTGTTGTGATGCTCCAATATATTTGGAAAATTTGGAAGCTACTGAGAACAAATTTTGGCACCCAGGTTCGTTCCGAATTTTTTGTAATATATTTGGACGAACGCCTCGGTACAAGTTCCGGAATTTCGGGAAAATTGTACTTTGGAACAAAAAATTGGAATGTATAAAACAGCCCTAAGTCTCCAAAACTGCATCACGTACACATGCACATCAGCGGAGAGTACTCGGTTGTATTGTCCTGCCGGAAAAAGAGAGAGCAGCCGCGAACTGTATTATTTTGAGACTCTGCGTCAATGCTCAAAGCTTGCCTTGTTGATGCCCCTCATGCCTTTGACCTTCAACCGACATGTTAGCACCAAGCCCATTTCCAACCCTGCTGGTGTGTGATGCTGCTCTCGGCGAAGCTCAAGCCGTCTCCGACGGTGCGGCGGAACCGCACCGACCGAGGTGTCTGTTCCCTAGTGCGGTACGTGTGTCAGTGTAGCCACAATCGCAGGTAAACCCACCCCTCTGACTGCCTCCATGATTAATTAGCGTGCTCGCCCTCCCACGTACTCCACCCATGCCGTGACAACAGGCGAGACCTCCTGCAAACCCACCAGTATTTACAGGCCAGGGGTACCGCGGACGATACATGTAAAATTGAAGGGTGCCGTAAATTGAGCGGATGCCCCCCCCCCACAAAACCGCCACTGCCAGACAAAAAGCAATAAACTCACACGGCGGAGAGGCGATTGTGGTCATCAGGCTCCCCTGAGCATTTCGGAACAGCCTGGACACCTCACAGCCACCGATATATCCTCCTCTCCTACGCTCTCTCGAGGTATGTGGCTTATACTTGCTTTCAAAGGTGCGGTTCACCACGCGTATACTTTTTTTTGCCGTTGCCTCGTCTCTCTGTTTTTGGAGGAGAAAACCACACGAGACCTACCCCGCCAGATCACAACCAAACAACCCAAACCACCACCAGCACATCCACCCACCATCCACCGCGGCATGTCTTCACCTCGCCGCTCTTCCTCGTTGTCCAACGCCGACCCCACGGCCGGTGCCTCGTCCTCGCAGCGCCGGGGTCAGCAAGTGACGCCTGCCATCACCCGACGCCAATCGTCCGGCGGCGCGCGGAGGGAAGGCACGGAGAATCGCCAGTCTGCTGGTCGTGGAGCGCCCAGCAAGAGCAGGGTGAAAGGTGGCCCGCGCTCTGCCCTCAATCCGTCCTCGGCTGGCTACAAGAAGCGAGCGGCATCTGCGTGTCCTCGTGTCACGTCCACAGAGGAGGTATGTATCAGAAGGAAGAAGAATCTTCACGTGTCGCAAAGGAATTCTGGTGTGTATTGGTGGTCTTCCTTCCAAAACAAGAAGAGGGGTGATGATTTTCTTTCAAAAGGGGTCATGGCTGGCGCGGTCCGCCGGTCTATCTGTTTGCTTGCGTGCCCACGTATTGGTGTTACTTTTCTGATGCTCGTTTCAACACCGTTGTAGTCATTTCATTCGCCGCGCAGCGGTCAACCAACGCTTTCATTTCAAATGCGTACTCGTGTCATGCGTGTGTGGGCTCACACTGCTATTTTTTCTTATCTTTTGTCTCTGCATACTAATGGGAATATTTATTCGAAAGGAAAACACGCGACCTAGTGGATGTGTGAGCGTACGTCATCATGACACAAAAGTTACTTACATGTTGGGAGACACCCCCCGCTTGTGTATCTCTGTCGGAGTTCTCTTTTCCGCCGTCAATCACTACACGATATACCACTAAACAATGAGCCCCGCCCCCCGCCCGCCCCGGTGATTGCCATCGGGGTTGGGTTTTCGTCGCATGGCAACGACGTTGTAAAACAAGCCGCCCCCCCCTCTAACGACTACGGCATGCACGACTATGAGTACCCCCCCCCCCCTCCCACAAAAGAAGAGTGGCCAGGGAGAGGACGACGTCGTGACCATTCAAATCACATGTTACACTCGGAAGTCCTTCGAATTTTTTAGAGTGTTCGCTCGTTCATTGGTAGACCACCTCCCGGGTGTAAAAGACAGGATGCAAAGGTCACCATCCCAAGAGCATCTCCGTCGGTACTGTTCGTCGTAACCAGATCTACAAAAATAATCTGAACGCGAGAGGTGATGGCGGAACACCAGTGCTGAAAAGCAATACTCTTTGTCCGAGTACGCCCCCTGCCCGTTGCGTTTGGGTGAATATGTATGACATGCCCGCCCTCGCTGCCTGGAACGCGTGTGGCGCACGGCAAAACGGTGGCGCAGAAGTACACACGTTGCTGTTGGAACATTGGCATATGCCTGTGTTTTACTCTCCCCACATTTGTAAGTTCATAACCTCTGAAAGACAGCGATTCTAACCGTACGAAATATCGCCGCGATACACCACCAATTCGTGCGAATGCCGCATCCGCTCCGCCCGCCTCCGCTTTCCCCTCTCTCTCATCATCACAGAGCGACGACGAACCGGTTCCACCTGTAGCGGACACGGAGGACGAACAAAGCGGTGACGAAGATGACGACCCCGAGTACCCTGAAGAAGAGGAGGAAGACGAGGAAGAAGACGAGTCCGAAGACCTACTCGCGCCCCAGGTCCCCTCTCCTATGCCCTCTCCCATGACCGCCATCGGGGAACGCGACCCCAATGGGTGGAACAAGCATGTTGCCCCCCGCCGGCGCGGAAGGCGTGNCACAGAGCGACGACGAACCGGTTCCACCTGTAGCGGACACGGAGGACGAACAAAGCGGTGACGAAGATGACGACCCCGAGTACCCTGAAGAAGAGGAGGAAGACGAGGAAGAAGACGAGTCCGAAGACCTACTCGCGCCCCAGGTCCCCTCTCCTATGCCCTCTCCCATGACCGCCATCGGGGAACGCGACCCCAATGGGTGGAACAAGCATGTTGCCCCCCGCCGGCGCGGAAGGCGTGTTCGTCTCACCGCGCCGCCCTCCGGTGGCGCGGCCGGCGGCAGGCGCCCGCCGCGGCTCGTTCCCGAGTGTGACGCTAGACGGCGGCCGCCGCCCCTTTGGGAGCCTTCGTGGGACGCCCATGGCGGGTGCCAGCATCACCAGCTCCGTCACCATCGATAGCAGCATGAGCTCGGACGAGGTGTTCGACCACCTCCGTCAGATTGTTTCATCAACAGTGCTGTCCAGCCTCTCGGGCCACCTGCTCCGATTCGTGGCCCCATCCTTGGTGGTATGTTTTCTTTTTATTTCTCCCGTTCATCAATAAATGTTTTGGAACTCAGCGGCCCAACGAGTACCGCGCTTTGTCGTGTACTACTTCTTCGCGGCCCCCGGTATCCTCGTTACCCTCGATACTTTTGCCCAAAAGATGATCCGGCACCTTTTAAAAAGCCCCCGGTTAAGCGACCACGGATGCTCGGTGCCTCGTTTGCGTCGTTGATGTGCCTACCCACGCCACTATATGCTTGTGCCAGAGTACATACGTCCTGCCGCCCCTTGCAGGTTTTACGCCGTTTCAAACTGTGTGTCGCCCCCGTGTGTCTTGCGCCATAGAACATTCTGTCTCCACATTCCAGCGATCGTCTCCAAGCACATCTCGCCGTGCAGGAGCGAGCTCCACGCCGCCCTTGCTTGGGCCTGGCGGAGCACATCATCCTACCCGCTTTCAACGACGAGATCCGAGTCAACCTGGGAGCGGAGACTGCGTCCGACCTCATGCGCGGGGTTCGCGCTTCTATGTACACCATGGACGCGGACGGGGGGCGAGGTATACTAGGAGTTAATTGTTTTGTGTGCTTCGGGAGCGGTGTGTAGATATGTTTACATTGAGTGCGTGATTGCGCGTATGTATGTGGTCCCTGGGAGAGAGTATGTATACCCCAAAGCTTTTACCAGTAGTGTCTATCGCCGTCAAGGTCATGCCGAATGAGCGTTGAAGCTTGAGCATCGCCACGTACCTCCGTGCCGTCTATCCAACTGCTGCCTTTCACGTGCCCTGTCCCCCATTCATTATCTGCAGAACGCCCGCCGCATCGAGGCCTTCATGCACACCACCTTCGCTTGAGCGATGAAGGCCCACCGCGCCAAGGACCGCCATGGCCTGTCCATGGCCGATACCTTCGGCGGGAACAGCCTCCGCCGCGACTTCGCCAACCAGGTGCGTGGAAGCGCTTAGGTGTGTTTTCGCTTGGCGGCTACAGTCCAAAGGTACGTAGTCCCACCACACATACTGTTCATGATTCAGGTGGACATGTGCGCTTATTCTCGTGTCTCGACATGATGCTTTTCATCCGCGGGGTCAAAATGTGTTCGTCCGTTCCGCTGGGAGTGCCGTGTCCCAGCCGTGTAGGCCTACTCTCTCGTGCATGCGCCCCTCCGCCCATCAGAAAGAACAGACGAAACAGTTCTACCTCGCATTCCCGTGTACTCCATCCACACTTTTCAGGTCGCGGCCCCGCTCGCCCTGCACGCCATCGTGGACCTAGACCATGCCCCTATCACTGACGTGGGCGCGCCGGAGACCATCGCCTGTCGCAGTGTGAGGCAGGTGAGGAGCTGGTCCAAGCTACAGACCGGCGGATTCGGAGCGAGGAACCAGAGGGTGTTCCAAGAAGCGTGAGTGCCGGGTGTGTGTGTGAGGTTTTTCTTTTTGTAGCAGGTAGTCCTTACGTTGCACAAGATACATGTTTTTTGGCCCGGTCTCACCGCTCCCATCGTCACCTTGAACACGTCAAGCCCTTCCACAGTTTTTTGACTGCGTCCTCTCACGAGCCCTCTTGCAGCTATAAACTAGGCCCGAAAAAAATATCTGATTGTAGGCTGAGCCCAATCACCACTACCTTTTGAAATGCTTCTCGTGGCGGTCATCATTGGGGTGCTGTTGCGCGAGGGGGGGCGTTCAAAGAAAAACACACAGCATAGCTCCGGCATCGTGTCGTGGCGTTAGTGTTGCCGAGTCTTGTGTTGGCGTAGATGCTTGTCAATTCTTTTCCCATACGCCATCTACTCATATATCCCAATATTGTTCACGACAACATTTAACAGGATGTGGCGCCACCTACACGGGTTCATCACGAGCCCCCGCCGCCTCGCCCACCGGCTCACGGCGATGGACCCCGCCTCCATCACCAACGCCGACGCTCGGCGCTACCTCACCCCGTACTACACGGGTGAGAGTTTTTATAAATCTCTCCCATTGTTGGACTCTGTCGTCTGCCGCTCTGGCCCCCATCCTCCACCTCTACTAGCTAGACGACCCAACCGGGGTCACATAAGAGTAATGACACCGGGCGTTCACTCTGCTTTTTTTTACGCGTCTCGCGGGGTGCGTTTTGCCGCCACGGTAGTCGCGTATAGCTTAATAGCACACGTGAAACAGGCGGTGCAGGGAGTGACCATTCCCCGAGTATACGCACCTGGGAGGGGGAGTATTTCCCCCATGTTGCCACGCGTTGTGTTGCATCTGCCGGCGAAGTTTCGTTTCTGTCCGCAACGACGACTACGCTGAAACGTACATCGTGGTGTTCGTTGATGTAGAACCAAAGTGCATACCCGGCGATGAACCTCCCCAGGTTTTCAATGTGGCTATACCAGTACACCACACGGATGCATCCCTCTTGCTCGCCCCCGCACCGCCTCGACACGCATCAGCTCTATATACCAAACGCCCACTTCGTCAACCCCGGTTGTTGTTTGTACTTTTTCCTCGTCACAGAGGAGCCGGCCTTCGCCAACCCCGAGCCCGCCTTGGGCGGAAAGGAGATGGCCGACCCCAACGCTGGCCCTCTTCGCGTCGAGGAAACCCTCGCCCCGGACACCGACTTCTAGAAGGCGCGCATCGCACCTTCTGTGCCCTCGAGGTTGTCGCCTGTTGGTGGCGAAATGGAGTGTTCGGATGTGACAGAGTTTTGCTTAGTACGAGGCTAGCACGGTTTTGGGAGGGGGGGAGGGCGCGTGGGAGTTTTATTTATATCTTTGTGCGTTGCGTGGAACATGTCGTGCGCAGAGCCGGGGATAAAGGAAAGAGATGGCAAGAAAAACAGATCGTGGGCGGAAGATAGATCTATCTGTGATCTCCCGTCCCCGCCTTTCATTGACGCCGCCGTATGTTTCTCATGCGCCGGGCGCACGTAGTTTTAAAACTGACTCTGTCCTCGTGAGGTTTTTGCGGCGCGTGCGGGTACCCGTTGCGTCGTCTTTGTTTACTCACACAAGCTCGTAAAAAGTCGGTTTCTGGTTCGGCGAGACAGACCAGACAGAGAGAACGCGCAAGTGGTTGGTATAAACGGCGAGAATACACAAGTGTTTTCCGGTCGCGAGTTGTACGAATACGTGTCCTCTAGAGCATTTGGTGTGGGTGCGGTATAAGTCCGACGTCAAGATATTATGTGGATTGGGTGTGTCTGATGCAAACATAACAATCACAATTGCCTTTCACCAAGGTGGTACCCTCTCTACACCAAACAGATGACCACCCGCAGGGTCCCTGCCGTACACGGTACACCCTCCCACATAATTATAAAGGTCGCCACCTTCACATGGGGCAGCCTCCTCGAACTCATTCATTACCTGACCTCGTACCAAGGTGTACCCTCACACACCATACAGAGTAACAGGTCCGACAGGGTCTATTTCTTGTCGTGTACAACAGCCCTGGTCCCTACAGGGTCCGCATACTGTCTACGGATCGCAATATAGGGCCGTCACTGTACTCGTGCCTGCAGGGTCTCAGCGTGGGCATCCTCCGATCCGAGCCGAATGGGTACGTGTGTTCCCGCAAACGATTTCCTTGCGCCGAGGTGACTCTGATTACCGGAACGCGGAAGCCCTCGGTGCCTACTGTTGAAAACGCAAATCCCGTACGCACAAACAATTCTTGCACCATGCTCATTTCAGTGGTCACCGCCGACCAAGGATTGTTTTGTGTTTAGTAGCCACCACGCGTGGTTCAGACACGAGTCTCTAGCGAGGTTTCAATCAATCGGCGCATAGAAATTGCCTACGGGGTAGGCACGGGCGGTGTTTTTTGTTTCCAAGCAGGTCAAGTTGACGTTGCCATAAAAAAAAATAGCAACAACGTGGAGTCTCAGACCACCCGGGCCGTGTTCATTGGTGCTTGCCACCAAAGGCACCACATTCGACCTGAGAGCAACCGGTTTGGGGTGGCATGCTCCCCGACATACACCTCAGGCGTTATCTTTGACAGTTGCATGAATTGTAATTGGACGCAACGATATTCAAGAGGAGAGCATCGTGCATTAAGAGGGTGTTGAACCTTTTCGGGAGGTTTTCAGGACGTTATTCAAGAAGAGAGCATCGTGCATTAAGAGGGTGTTGAACCTTTTCGGGAGGTGCGTTATACAGTGCGTCGAAGCCAAAGAACAAATAACGAAACCACATGTGCCCCCCCCTTCTGTGTTGGTCTGTTGTCACGGCATAATGTGTTTAGCGTGTTACGGCATCACAGCGTAGGGCACCGCCTTGATGCAACACCGACCACATAACACCAGCAATAGACGAGTACCGGACGACGGGGGATATAGCACTGCTACACCCATTTATATATGTATACCTTCTCATGTTGCTGTCCTACAGAAAAGTACGTGTTGGTTATGCTTTGGCTTTCATCAATCATACAGGTCTATACAATTAACTTGTGCAAGAGGTACAATATTACGCTAACGGCGGCGCTTATCAAGGTGTGCCTATTGTCTAGTTTGAGCAGAGTAGATTAGTGTTGTTGCGAATCATCTAGGCGGTGCTATTGGATGTTCTTCAGTGCAAAATACATACCCCTGTACGTATACGTTGTGCCTGGGTGAACGGGATGGCGTAGACCGCGTTCTTCAGGCGCCGTGGGTTCGAGCTCGTCTACGTACAAATATTTTTCAACCACGTATTTCCCTCTGCCTGGACAACTAGTAACTATCGGTGGCGCTCGATATGGTGGTTGTATAAACATCAACGTGAATATCAGGCCACACATCCTGTTGGTGTTTAGCGAAGTGAGACATGAAACAATAAGAAACAATACGATTCCTCTATTATTTCTTAAGTTTCACAAAGAAAGGCGGGTGCGAACAAGGGCGGCGGGGCACCAACACCAGGCGGCAACTTTCGTGTCACTCACAACTATTTTACCCCGAGTACATACCGACAACAAAAGTAAACGGAGTACACACCTCCAACAGGTATGTTCGTGTGCGCCAAAGATCAACTGTGATAAGTGAACGCTTGCGAGTCGAGGGATACACACCGATGCTTTCTTCCGTAGGTGCATGCGGGCACGCGTGGATGTTTAGAACAAGCGAAAGAGCTTCCTCCGTTCCTATGCAAATTTTGGTACGATACAACCATGTTCTCAGAATCTTGACGTCGACCACACGTTGGCATGCAACGTTCGATCTGCACATACTACGTTTCCATGGTGACTGTAGGGCACCCGCAAACGACAAAATGTCTTGCTGCCAGCAGCCGAACAACGGGAAAGCGTCACTACTGCTGAATCCCTTTCTTCACTGCCCCCCAAACTATCACAACCAAACCTTTCCGACACGGCTGGACATTCCGACGCATGTATCCTCCAGGCATGCGGATCATGGCCCGCCACCTGTTCCTCACCGCCCTCATTCTGTTGGGTGTTCCGGCTTGGAGCGTTGGGATGAGCATGCAAACGCCCCGACAAGATTTGGCAAGGACGACAGCGGTATCATCTCCAGAGACTGCTGTGATCCACTCTTCGCTCCGCGATATTGCAGCCGGCAGGTCGTTGACAGCCACAGGATCCTCCTCGTCGGGAAAAAACACTTGGCGCCACCCACTAGATTCAGTCGACCTCAATGCCACCCCTCCTCCAAACAGGTCAGCTATTGCGCAGCAATACTGGGTGCTCGTGACCTGTGTCTCTCTCACGTGACGAATTACGGCCAGAACCAAATTTGCTCTCAGTACTGAAGTCGTCTATTAGTAGCAGACTTTGGCCTGTGTCACATTCTCGGCTGGGACACATGCACGGACGATTATAGCCTAGACTATGCCGCGCATGTTTGAGGACTGAAGGGCGTAGGGCGTGATGATGGAACTACATCAACAACTAGGATAAAGTGAGACCACCGGCTGCGCGGACGCCAGGCAACAGGAAAGGGGTACATCACATGTAGTCCCACGCCATCACGCTTAAATCATTCACACAACGAGAGCGGCAACCACGCGGTCCCGTGCCGTCCACGTTGTTCTTGGCTGCACCAGTGCCATGAGTGATTCATATTGTGAAATTCATGCTAGGGTCAGCCTCGTGCGCGGACGCGTGTACACGGCAGGCGTGTGGGACTGCGACAACAGTGGCAGCCGCAAGTACACCGCTTTCAAAAGCACTTGTTCCCACCCTCACCTAGTCAGTATGGTACTTCATTCAGCGCACAAAATAATCATTCCGACATATACTCTTAATTGAAGCAGACGGCCGGGGAACACGCCGGCCAAAGTTGTAGCTGACCATCACGCTAAACGGACCTTGTTGCTAGTCTGCACGGAATATGGACGCAGCCCCACAGGCCACGCGAGGCTCACCTGAAGGATTTATATATTTTCGATCTGGAAATTATCATCCATCCGCGCTACCTGTGGAGTATTGTTTGTGTATGTACTCGGCAGGATACAGATCTCCGAGATATCCGAGGGGGTACGCATATATGATAGGTTTGGGTACATGCAGACGTGTGTGCAGCAGCAGGTCCTTCTTGCCTGCTGCTCATGCTTGTCACTCGTTAATAGTCAATCAAGGAACTTGAGTCACTCCTTTGTGCAACACGCTCTCGAAAATAGCCCGCGAGCGTGANAGATAGATATTGTACATGATGGGTGCGATGGACTTGACGCGTAGGCTCTGCTTGCCTGCCCGCCATGTATCTCACTCGTTAATAGTCAATCAAGGAACTTGAGTCACTCCTTTGTGCAACACGCTCTCGAAAATAGCCCGCGAGCGTGATAACATAGTACACGCGCCGACACCCCAAACACGATATCGTGAAGTCAGCTGACGTCGGTAGGGAAAGGTTCGGGAGGTAGGCACCGGAAGACAAGGGCAGCAGCAGCGGGCGGTTTTTTCCCGCGCGCGCCAAGGAGATCCAGGGAACAGAGTTTGGAATACAAGGGCAGCCGCGACAGGCGCGCCAAGGAGATCCAGGGACAGCATTTGGAATACAAGGGCAGCAGCGGCGGAGGAAGAACACGTGAGAGAAGTACTGGACGAAGATGGAATATGGGCATCTAAGGGAGAAGAACGATGCACCGGCAGGAGCAATGGCTGCCGGAAGAACGACTGCCGGGGCAGTTGGTGGAGCTGGGCTCGGTACACAACGGGTGAGCATGAAAAATGACGGAAATTGTGCTTTGAGCGGTTACAGCAGCAGTCCCAACCCGCCCAAAATCCCGACGAATTCGACGAAGGCCGTGAGCTGGCTTCGGAGAATGCGGAATTTCCTGGCTGTCGAGGATTTGGAGCGAACCCTTGACCACATGCCATCTACTGGTTATGTCAACGTTATCAGTTGTCTGGATCGCACATACCTGAACCAGACTCACGGTGCACATCTGGTGGCAGCTCACCAGCGGGCGTGGGGGTACATGTTGGAAGCAACCTGCGGCACGGACATTGAAGAACGGTTGGGTGCTTGCGACTGCGTCCCTGAGGCGTGGAGCGTGATCCACGAATGGCTGTTGCCTACTCTTGACGCTGAGAAGACGTTGCTTGTGAGGCGACTTGAGACGATTGAGATGCATCCCGGCGAGGACCCGAAACTCTTCTTCGCCAGAGTAGACGGAGTGATCAACATCATGAAAGCTGTCGGCATCGAAAAATCTGAGCGGGCTATCGTGCACATCATTGTCCGCCAGCTTGCGCACGAGTACGATATCGAACGCAAGTCCATCCTGGCCGACCCCACCATTTCCCGAGCGAAGGTGGAAAACGTTGTTCGCGCGGCATACGCCAACAAGGTCATGATGAAGGAATTGGGCAAAGCGCAGGCGGCACCGGCGGCAGCGGTGACGGTTGGTGGGCTTGGGTCCGGTCATGGTGGCCACGGTCAGGGGGGACTACAACGGCGGTGGCGGCAACAGCGGGAGCAGCAGCAGTGGGTTCGTCCTCAGCCACCACCTGCACATTACCCACCTCCTAACTTCCCGACGTGGGGATCTGGGGGGCTCTATGACTGTGGGCGCAACGCTGTGTACCCGCAAGAGGAGTCAGCTTCGCCGCAGGGTGCTCTGATGGGTGCCGTCCATCAGTGCGTGAGATGCGGGAGGCATGGACATTCACTTGGCGACTGCAATGCGCCACGACGCTTTGAAGGCAACTGCACTGCCTGCGGTGAGTATGGCCATCGGCGCCGCATGTGTTGCACAATCGACCGCATGCAACAGCACGTGCCCGTCGGTGACGGAGAGGGTCTCAACGCGAATGGCAACGACGCTATGCCGCACCAGCAGCGGAAGCGACGACGCTGGAGGAGGTAAAGGCATCGACAGGAGGCGCTGCTCCCCGTGTTTGCAGCTGGCGCGGTGGCATGGGGAACAGTACCTGCGGCAGGAGCGGCGACCGTTGATGGTGGTTTCCCCACTATGGTGGCGGGGGGAACGGTCGGGGGGCAGGCGCTCGCGGCGGGAGCAGCGGCATCGACGGCAGCACCGGCGGCGAGAGCGGCGACCCCCGGCAGCAGAATCTTCCCCGCGGCGGCGGCAGGGGAGACGGCCGGGGCGCAGGCACTCGCGGCGGGAGCAGCGGCATGGACGGCAGCACCGGCGGCGAGAGCGGCGACCCCCGGCAGCAGAGTCTTCCCCGCGGCGGCGGTGGGGGAGACGGCCGGGGGGCAGGCCCTCGCGGCGGGAGCAGCGGCATGGACGGCAGCACCGGCGGCGAGAGCGGCGACCCCCGGCAGCAGAGTCTTCCCCGCGGCGGCGGTAGGGGAGACGGCCGGGGCGCAGGCACTCGCGGCGGGAGCAGCGGCATGGACGGCAGCACCGGCGGCGAGAGCGGCGACCCCCGGCAGCAGAGTCTTCCCCGCGGCGGCGGTGTGGGAGCCGGTTGGGACGCAGGGAATTGCGGCTAAAGCGTCAGCAGCGCAAGAGCCGGAGGACGAGTGCGATGAGGATAGCTGTTGGTTGGGCCATGGCGACGAAGGTGGCAACAGTAGCGACGGCAGCGGTGACGGCGGCATCGGGGCGTTGTCCGCCGGTGCAAGGCATCCCGGCGCCCATCCGACCGTGAGCAATGGCATCTACGTCGTGCGGGACGATGGGGGGTAATGCCAGGAAGGGAGGATCGATCGTGGCAGAAGTGTGCGGCATGAAGTGAGAGACTTGGTGATCGGGATCTCCAGAGGAGAAAGTGAGAGACTTCGTGATCGGGAGCTCCAGTGGGGGATGACCGATGGTTGCAACGACGCAGCTCTGGATCTACGCGCGGTTCAGGCACGTTTGTGAGAATTATTGTGTTTGGGTTATTTCTAGGTTTGTTTTTGTTTTGTTTGTCGAAAACCATGAGTTTGAGAACTGTGTCGACGTAGACTTAGAGTTGCGATGCGCATGGTTGGTTACATTGTGATTTTCATATGTTGGGCATTGAGTTTTGATAATCTAAGAATTCAGCACGCCGAATGGTTCAGTTGACATCGTTGGACCACTGCTGGCACTGCTGTCAAAAATCATGGGGGGGGATGAATGTGATTGTGATGCCATGATCCTCGTCGCAGTACAAGCAGCGTTCTAGCAGACGTTCGGGTTTGGTTCTTGTTCATTTTGTAAACGTTTTCCGCGTTTTACCTGCGGCTTTCGGAGATAAGTTAATGATATTTGTTTGTTTTCTCGTTGTTAGTATTCGAGAGTTGTGCCTTGCATGTATTGCTGTAGGACGGATTGAGTTCCATGGTCGGAGATATGTCGAAGGGGAGATGTCAATCGGTATATGTTTTGTATTCTGTTTCTTGCAATCCAGACGAAATACTGGATGGCTTGCATTTTCTGTTTCGGGAGTTATTGCAGCAGGAGGGCTGTTAAGCTTTTCATGTTCTGGGAGATAGTGCAGCAAGGGGCTGTTAAGTTTTATTTTTTGGGAGATATTGTGGCCAGGGGCTGCTAAGAAATTGATGTTGTCTCTTTGTTTGAGAAACGGCTTAATTGGTGAAAGTTTCCTCTGGCGTTTAAATATGCGCCGGGTTTTTAACCTTTGTCTCTTTTGCCGTATTTGGTATTTTGGTTTTTCTGAATGATATATTGAAGGAAGGAATTGGCATATTTTGGTAAGACATGGTTGAGGCCTATGTGCTTCCGAAGCTTATTTGAGATTGGTCAATGAGCTGAAACATGGTTTTGTGCGAGGATCTTGTCCGAAGTAATAGTTGACACGTTTTTCCGGAGTTGTCCGTCCAAAGTCTTCATGACGTGACTCTGATGTAATGTTGATCTTTGCGGAGTATTTTTCTAAGGATGATTCTTGGTTTTTGGCTGCTTGAGAATTTGGTGACGACATTTTCTCGAGAGGGATGATTGTTAAGACTCTAGTGAAGTTCCAACATACATAGTAGTGGATTAAGGAGGAATAGTAACTTGAAATTTGAATATTCAATAGATCGGGAAGTTGAGATGATTTGTGAATATGAAAGATGAATGGTTTTGGTTTTGTTGCCGTTTTACCTGGCGATATGTACGGAAGGTTCGTAGATCGTATCTCGTACCGAGTAGGGGGGCTGTTTGTGTATGTACTCGGCAGGATACAGATCTCCGAGATATCCGAGGGGGTACGCATATATGATAGGTTTGGGTATATGCAGACGTGTGTGCAGCAGCAGGTCCTTCTTGCCTGCTGCTCATGCTTGTCACTCGTTAATAGTTAATCAAGGAACTTGAGTCACTCCTTTGTGCAACACGCTCTCGACAAGAGCACGCGAGCGTGATAACATAGTACACGCGCCGACACACCAAACAC